AGGTGTTATTTTACATTCTCCATGGCCTAATCTTGAATATTTCGATAGAATTGATACATTCTCTACAGATAATTATTTCTCATTAGCACTTGCAACAAATTTAAGACAATTAATAATTGGTAATGATACATATTGGTTTGATGTGACTGATGAGCAACTAAGTAAAATAAGTCCAAAAGATAATTCATATAAAGGATTTCCACCACTTTATATAACAGTTGGTACAGATGAAATATCATTTGATGCAATTCATGATATGACTGAGAAAATGAAATTATCAGGTGTAGAAGTTATATTAGATGAAGGTGAAGGATTGATGCATACATATGCTTTATTTCATATGTGGTCACCTCAAAGTGGATGGATTCAAGAGAAAATTCGTCAATGGATTCGAGAAAAATTGTTAATTGGAATGCAATCAAAATCCAATGTAAAGAGGGTTACAAAAAATCCAGGATGTATTTAGAATTCAGTACCAAGGTCTTTTGATGTGATTTAAATTTGGATTTGAACTGTATGTCTTGGTTTGTAGGTTATATTTGGAAGTTAACTTTGGATTTGGGTGGACTTTGTATAAACAGTTCGGAACTTTGTATCATATATGTATTAGATAAAGTTGAGATTTATGGGAAAAGTTTCTCAAGTGATCAATCGCTTTTGTTTATGAAAACATATGTGACTCTATGCAATTTCCTGTGCTGATTTCGAATATGAGCGTTTTAGAAGGTCTTAGGCCTTTCTTGATTCTGTGTCATTACTCTGATCCTCCTTCTAAGAAATGAGTTACTCATCGAAATTTAATCTTTTAATCAGTCTACCATATACGACTAGACGAACCATGTAAAGAAAAGTTACTTTAGTTTACTTTATTAATATTAGAAGTACTTAAAAGTGTTTTTTTCACTTTCTTTTTACATGGGAAGATATTCACAGAAATACTTTTTTTTATAGACATTTCAGTCTCAAGTTCCGAATACGGAACTATAAATTTGTATATTGACTACAAACAGTCATCTGATATTTCTTTTCGTTTTATCATCATTTATTGACAAATTAATCATATTAAGAAGAATATATAACAATAGAAAAAATAGAAAATACGTATGCTAATTTTTCAAAGTATAAAATATTGGCACGATGAGAATATATTTCTAA